GGGGGGGGGGGGGGGGGGGGGTCGCTCTATGGGGAGAGAATATGAGGGATGAGTTCATGGATGACGACTTTGTAAAGAACTTCATGGGCCGAGGGGTTCGCTCCAGGAGCCTGGAACATGCCTGGGGCCCTTTGTGTATGGGAGCACACAGAACATATGGGGAGTGTGTATAATCTAGAAGGAATGCATGGTGAAGTCATTAAAGGATGTGTTCAGTCCATGGGGGGCAATATTGGGGGTTCTGCAGATTATAGATTGCATTTCATAGCATTGCGTAGGCTGCTGCACACATGTTTGGGGAGGAGAGAACTGGAGCTCTGACATACTAGGGGTTCATATAAATGGGGGTGATTACAGATCATATCGGCCCATTTATAGAGGTGAGGAGCATTGGGGCTGATGGACATCACATATTGGGAAGCTTGTACTGAAGCTTATATGTCACAGTCCATATGTATATGGGACCATAGAGGGGAGATAGATGGAGACCACGTTTTAAAGCTCCTATAATAAGAGCAGCTGTACAGGGGTGCAAACTACTGGGGCGCTGTAAATCACACCAGGCTGCGTAAAACCAGGGGGGCTGTACAAAACTGGGGCTCTGCAGATGATACACAGCACATTATACTGGGGTATAGAAAATAGGGGCACTGCACATTGCACTGGGCTGATAAACTTTACATTGTGCTACGTGAAATTAGGGTGCTGCACATCACACTGGGGTACACAGAATCTGAAAACAGTACATCACACTGGGGTACCAAACACCAGTACTGCACATTGCATTGGGCTAATAAGCTTTACACTGGGGTACATAAATTTAGGGTGCTGCACATCACACTGGGGCACACACAATAGGGGGGGGCTGCACATCACACAAACTGGGTGATGCATGTCACAGGGGGTACACAAGGAATCAGTACATCACACAGAGGTTACACACACGGGGTGCTGCACACTACACGGGGGTTACACACACTCTGGGGGTGCTGCACATCACACTGAGGTTACACACAATCAAGGGTTCTGCACACTACACTGGGGGTTACAAACACACAGGGGGTGCTGCACACTACATTGGGGGTTACAAACACACAGGGGGTGCTACACACACGCCTCACCTCGTCGTCCGAGTCGCTGCTGAGATTCTCCGACTCGTTGACCAGAGAAGATTTGACGTCGGCCAGGTCGCCCTCCGCCGATCCCTCCCCGGGGCTCTTGTCCTCCTGCTCCCCTTCATCCTTGAACCGGATCAGCTCATCGTTGGCCCCCAGATCGTCCCCTCCACCGCTGTTCCTTAAAAGTTGCAGAAAAGAATCAAATCCAGAAGAAGTGCGAAGATTTCCTCCCCAGCTCCAGCAGGCTTCTCATCAACGACTCCGGGATCCTGATTTGTTTTTTCTTTTCCTCTTTCTGTTTTGTTTTTTAAGGGGGGAGATGACACGGGGGGCCCCCAATCTGTAGGGAACTGTTGGGACTCGGGAGCTCCTGCTTCTTTCCCTGGGTAAACTATAATGTGGACCTGCTAGAGCACGATCCCCAGCGAGGATCCAGGGGAGGAGTCTGGACATGCAAACTGACACTTATTTAAAAAGAACTGCTCAATGGACAATTGAGGGAATGGGGCCAAGATTAACCCTTCTGCATCTGGAGGGGGGGCTGCAAGATTTAACTCCTCTGCAGCCAGAGCCAAGCATTGCACGATCCACAGCAAACAAACAAACATTTGCTGCTGGCAAACTTTTTAGCATGGGAAGTCAGCTGATAGAAGATACATTGTTGCCTCTGACTTTTAGTAGGATCATCTTTTTTTTCTGCATTGGACTAAAAAGGAAATGGATGTCATGTTTTCACTGTTCCTAGAAGTACAAAGTTGTTTTTAGATGTTTTTT